TATATTGTCAAGGGTCTAGCGGCTAATACTGACTGAGAACTCACCCTTCTCTTCCTTGTAAGTTTGTGTTTCAGATTATGTCCTCCATTTCTAAGTGTCTTGAAAACCCCCTGATGTCTGGGGCAGCCTACTCATCTCTACAGTTCACATCTGTACCCATTCACACGTAAATATCCCCGTGTTAGAGCCTCAGTGACGGAAAATGTCTGATTAGCTAACACGGTGTTTTGGCACTTCTTAGTGGTTTATAGTTAAATGACACACTTTATTTGTATTTTATTGTAAATTATGAGCAAATTTATACTTTTCAAATACAGTATATAAGTCCAAATATCAATCAGACTTAAGAAAGCAACAAATTATGTAGTTGCAGTTAAACATTGTGATTGATCTCAGTGTTCATTGGTTTAAAGTCATTCCCAGACTGGCCTCTTCTATGTGTTTTGTGGGTTTTTTGACTTTGTATGTAAAGATAAGTTGAGGAGTTCTGTTACTAGTGTATTGAATTGCCATACTCACTATTGAAACATATTTGCCATGCGAGAGTCTTCCTTATTGATTACAATGGACTAACTATGTGTACCTGGTATTCTGTTTGCTTGAACTAATTAGAGCTCTCTCTTCATTGTCATCTTTATCACTTACTGTCTTTCATTTATGATTTTGTACAAATTTTTAGGAATTTTAAACATTTCATTCTCTTTATAGTTGTAAAAACTTAATCCTTTAAGTAAATAAAAGCTCAAAACTCATAAAATATTTAAACAAATAGTTATGTGTACAATCCATATAAACACATTCATACATTATAGTATATTCAAAAGACATACTTTTGGGTTGTCTGAAAAGTCATGATGCATTTTTGCATAGAAAAAAAAATACCTCATAACTTTTCTGACAACCCAATACATATTCACTATTAAACATTGTAGAAAATTTAAGCTTATTTTCAGTAAGATTAGGTAAACAAGTAGTAATTAATGCAAACTACTTTTTAAAACAAGTTAGAGATGAGTTTTCTGATTTTTTTTAAAAAAAAAATTTTTTGCCATAGGGTGTGTAGGCTTGCTGGAGAGACAGAGACAGAGAGACAGAAAGTGAGAAATCACCCTCCGGGGGGTGGCCATGCCGCAGTCCCTTCTTCTCCATTCCCCTGTCAGCACATACTCTTGACATAAGGTGTTTTTTTGTTTGTTTGTTTTTTAGGAGAGGTTTTTGCTATACAGCGCGTGCGCTCGCCAGACAGACAGGGAGAGACATAGAGACAGAAAGTGAGAAATCACCCCCCAGGGGGGATGGTCACGCCACAGTCCCTTCTCCTCCATTCTCCTCTCGGGATCTTGGGCACGCACGCACACACACCCGGCGTGAGTTCTAAGCCACTGGGTCCGGGACGTGAACCACGATCAACTACGTGGGAGTCCAGCGACATAGCCATTATGCTAACTGCTGGTTCCCTGTTTGTTTGTTTTTTGAGAGTTTTTTTTTTTATAGGTACGTACACATGCCAGAGAGAGAGAAAAAGGGAAATCACCTTCCAGGGGAATGCCATGCTGCAATCCCTTCTCCAGTCTCCTCTCGGGATCTTGAGCATATACACACACGCCCTCAGCATGAGTTTTAAGCCACCAGGTCTGAGACTTGAACCGTAGTCGACCACTTGGGAGTCGAGCAATGTAACCATTACACCATCTGCTGGTCCTGAAATGAGATGTATTTTAAAAGTTTATTTATTTGTTTCATGAAAGAGAAAGGCAGAGAGAAATAATGATAGGTACCCCCTGACGCAGTCCCCACGCCTCAGTTCCTGGGATCTGTAGTCCCATCATGGGTGCACATGCACCCCACAAACCAGTTGCATCACTGCTGTACGTTGCCTGGCCCTGACAGCTCTTATAAATGGTCACGGCCCACCCTCATTTGCTAGTGTACTGACTATACATAGACAAGTATGGCCTGCAGGTGATAGTTGGTCCCTGGACTAGCTATAGCGGTCCCTGGAAGGCGCACCTAGCTGAGTCACCAAGTATGGAAGCATCCCTCTCCCACTTAGGATGCCGTTTGTACATTCAGGCATGCAGTAAATATTGAATGAATAAATGATTAAAGCCTCAAGCTGTTCTGGGATTCAAACTCTGGTTCTCAATAAAATACCACCAAGTAAACATAAAAATACATATTTAGAGAATTTTGAAAGTACAGAACCTATGGAAAAAGTAAAATTACCTATATATTCTTTCTGCAAAGTGAAATACTGTTAACGTTGTAGGTATTGCTGAGTTTTTTCTATGCAAATGTATTTCACATAATTCCAGTTACTTGATACACGAGCGTTTTCCTGTCATTAAGCATTTTTATTTTACTGTCAGAACCGACTTGAGTAATGTGTGATTCGTGTGTGGTACATTTGATGAGTTTTGACGAATGCATACATCCTGTTAAATGGCATCATCCAGATATCGAACGTTTCCCTCACTGTCGCAAGCTTCTGTTAGGTCCCTTTTCAGCCAGTGCTTTCATGCGGCCGCTGGCTCCTGCAGTGGCCGATCTGCTGCCTGCCATCGCAGAGTTTCCCTGTTCTGGAGTGCGCGCGTGGAGAGACTGAGCAGGCAGCCCAGGCACTCCGATGCATTCTCTTCACAGTCCCTCTCAGTCAGCGAGCACCTGTCATACCTAATTTTAATGATTCCTTAACGGTCTAACTTATTTAGCTAATGATTGCGATATTTGGGTTGTTTCTACTGCTTTACAGTCCTAAATAAGCAATGATACAAAGTTTTGTTTGAATTTTTGATTTAGGATGGATTGCTGGAAGATGAGTGTGCTGGATAAATGGATTTGAACTTTTATGGCTCTTGTTGCGTACTGCAAAATCATTTTCCAGAAAGATCTTACCAATTTATATTCCCACGAGCAGTATGCAAAAATGAGTGATACTACAAAATTATAATGTAAATTTTATTACTAAATTACATCATCACTTATAGTTGTTGGTAGAGCCTAGATTATGCTGTACTAACAAAGTCTCCAAAAATCTCAGTTGCTTAATACAGAAATGTTTATTTCTTGTTCAGGCTGCCTTTCTAATGCATATCAGCAGAGATTTTTTCTCTTTGGAGTCTTAGTAACTAGCCTAACTGGAAGTTCTGTCTGGTCAGTTGCTTCCATAATCTCTGCAACAATGGGTAGGACTTCAAGTTGTATATTCGCTTCTAAAGTTAATTCCTAGGGTTATCTTACATCACACCTGTGTACATTTGGTAGTGGGTCATTGGGAAAGTCATGAAAAAAAAAAAAACAGAAAAATACATCATGACCTTTCCAATGACCCACTAGCTAAAGCAAGTCATGTAGCTTCAGCTAAGTGGGAAGAGGGGAACGAAGTGCCGTCTTACCAGTGCTCTAGGAAGGAGGCCTGGAGCAGTGCGGATGACGAACATCTTTGAATGACAGCTCTGACTTCATCGATGAAAGATGACACCTCATTTAAGTTGATTTTCACTGCCAATGTAGAGAAATGTTTTTCACGTTTATTAAACATTCATTTTATCTAATTTCCCCTTTTGGGCTTTATAAACGTGTTTTGGGTTTACTTTTATGTTTCCAGATTTTTTAATTCTTTTTTTTATTAAGTTGCCAGAGGGTACGAGTGTTCTTCAGGGAGAGGAGAGAGACAGTCCCCCTGCAATGGGGCACAGTCACTCTGCAGTCCTTTCCCCTCCATAACTCCATCCTTTCAGGATTTAGGGCATGCGTGGACAGAACACTCAGTGTGGTTTTCAGCCCATTAGGGCCAGGATTCCAACTGTAGTGGGCCACATGGTATCCGAGTCCTCATCCCTAGCACTTAAACCACTGTGCTGTAGCTGGCCCCAAGATTTTTTAATTATGTATTTTTTTATAAGGATAGGTGATCATGATGGTTTTATAGGGAATGCAGACTTGTAGAAAAAGCCATCAGATTGAAGAATTAAGGTGGTGAAGGAAATTAATTTTTTCTCCTGATACTATAGTATTGTGATGATTTTTTTTTTTTTAAGAGAGATTTTTACTATAGGGCATGCGCACTTGCTGGAGAGACAGAGAAACAGAGACAGAAAGCGAGAAATCATGCCCTAGGAGGGAAGACCACACCACAATCCCTTCTCCATTCTTGTCTTGGGATTTTTGGGCATGCACATACCTGGCATAAGTTTTAAGCCTCCGAGTCCAGAACTTGAACCACAGTCAACTACATGGGAGTCCAGCAATATAGCCATTACACCACCTGCTAGTTCCATGTGTTGATGATTTTTCTTCAAGAATTGTCAACCTTAGGGGCTGGCAGGTGGCGTGGTGGTAAAGGCACTGGAATCCCACATACCAACTGTGGTTCAAGTCCCAGACCTGGTGGCTTGGTTTCTCACTTTCCTTCTCTCTCTCATTCTGTCCCTCTCTGGTCAAATTAAAATAAATAAATACATAAATAAATAAATAAATTTGAGTAAAGTAATTATTTAAAAAAAAGAATTGTCAACATTAAATAATCAAAGGCAATAGAAAATCCAGCAGACATTCTTAAGTCTTGACAGTCTACAAATTTCTTTCTCTTTTTTTCCTTTTTTTAAGAGAATTTTTTGTTATAGGGCAAGTGCACTTGCTGGAGAGACAAATACAGAAAGTCAGAAAGCGAGAAAGCATCCCCAAGGGGGGCATGGCTGTGCTGCAATCCTGTCTCCTCCACTCTCCTCTCAGGATCTTGGGTACGCAGGCACACACATGCCCAGCGTGAGTTTTAAGTCACCGGGTCCGGGACTCCAACCGTGATCGCCTGCACAGGAGTCCATCGACATAATCACCACGCCATCTGCTCATCCTGACAATCTACAAATTTCTAAAGAACAACTGAAACACAAAAGTTTAGGGAATAAGTGATCAATTAGGGTTCCCCTATTGAAAGAATACCTTCTGTACTCAGCTTTAGTCATATTTACCAAATCTTTTTTCTTTTTCCAATTCAGGTCTCTGCTTAAGATGGAATTTACGCTGTAGACATTTCTCTGTGGCTTATATCAATAAACCTGAGGTGAGTTATTTTATTAAAGCTTTTTTTTTTTTTAATTGCCAGAAGATATGTGTGGTTTACTAGAGAGAGGTAGGGGAAGAAAGCATTCTTCTCTCCAGATGCCAGTCCTTTTTCCTCCGTTTCTCCAGCCTGGCAGGATTCTAGCACACTTGTCCCACATGTTTGTTAAGCCACTGGGGCTGGAATTTGAACCACATTCACCCATCTGGGATCTGACTTCCTGTGTGTGGCACTTAGCTGTCCCACTGGAGGCTTGGTCTGCATTTGCTTTTTATAATAAGAAAGAATTGCTTCTGAAAAATTTAGGACAATACCAAATGCCTTTTCCTATGTATATTTTAACAGGAAGCAAATATTTTAATTACAAAGCTACATATGCAACATGTTTTTAGTTTTTTAGTAAAGTACTTTTAAACTTTTTAAAATTTTCCATTGTTTTTTTAAATTTTCCATCGTCGTTTCTGTTTAAAGGTGGAATTTGCGTTGCTCTACTCTGACACATACTTAAGGAAGACTGGCATTAAAATCTGAGGGCTGTTTTTGTTTGTTTGTTTGCCAGTGGATGTGTTTACTCACTAGAGAGAGAAATACAGAGACACAGAGGGGAAAGCACCCACAAATGGGGTGCAGAAGTGCATGGTCACCCCGCAATTCCTTTTTCTCCATTTCTCTATCTTGCCAGGATTTGGGGTATGCATGCACACATGTCTGGCGTGATTTTCATGCTGCTGAGTCTGGGATATTAACCACATGGTTGGCCGTGTAGGTTCCAGCTGCCTTAATCGCCAGGCCACAGAGCTAGCCCAAAACCGAGTTCCTGTTAAAACAAAATCCAATTGAAAATATTTGAACATGATATCCTTTATTAGCATGCTCAACTTAGTTCTGAGATTAAGTGGTAAGAATCTTTTTTTTAAGGTGTTTGCTGTTTTCAATAGGGCTGTGTGAAACTTCCTGCATAACCCTTGTGAAGCATGTGCAGGAGTCTCCTGGGTATACACCTATGAGTGTATTCACTGTCTAGGTAATGACCGATTCACTTAAAGAGATAATACAGCTGATTTCCAAAGGGCTTGTTCCATTTCACCCTCCTGCTACCAACATGTACGATCCTGTTGTTTCACAGTCTGTCTAATACTTGATATTTCAGACTTTTAAATTTTGCTAATTGAATGATGTTAAGTAGTATGTATTGTGATCTTTTAAGGAAAACTTTTAAAAACTGAGTTAGAATTTTTCAATTTTACAATAAAATACACAGATTTTAAATATCGTTAAATTTAAATACAGTTCAGTGGACTTTAACAAATGCATATACTCATGTGATCTACTCCCCTGCAAAAACGTAGCTCCCTTGACTTCTTTTCTTTCTTCCCTC